GGGGAGGAGGAGGCATAGGATAGGGAGGAGGGGGAGGAGGGGAAGGAGGGGGAGGAGGGGGAAGAGGAGGGGGAGGAGGGGAGAGAAAGAAGGGGAGGCGAATGTGGTCAAGGGCATGAGAGAAACATGGAAAGAAATAAACAAGGGAGGACCGATGGACGCTAGCAGAGGATAGAGGAGAGAGGAAGAGGGAAAGAGGGGGAGGAAGAAGAAGAAGGAGAGAAAGGGGAGGAGGAGGTAGACGAGAGAGCATGGGGCAACAAAGCAGAAGAAACAACAGAAGAGCGATCGTTTCCCGATTGCCACCTCGCTAAATCTGCTGAGAAGAGAAGTGCCAGGATACAAACGAGAGGAGGGGAGGGGGAATCAGAGACAAAAAAAAAAAAAAGCAAACAAAAAGGGTCATCCGATTTCCCCCTTTTTTTTTTTCTTTTTTTTTCGTGTTCGCAGAAGTACGTACAAGAAATCGGATGGAGAAAACAGAAATTGAAATTGACGAAGGAAGGATAGAAGTAGGGAGAAAAGCAATCCATCTCTCCTACCCTTTGGCGCCGGCCATGCCATTAAAGCTTCATATAGAAAAGGGAGGAGGAGAATGGGAGAGAAGAGAAGGCAAGCAAGAGAAGAAGGAGAGGTACAGAAAAGACAAGAAGAGAATTAATTAAGAAAGACGAGAAAGAAAAAAACACAAAACACAAAACAAATCAGCATCCGTCGCCTGATACCTACCGGAAAATCGAAACATAGCTTGTGGTAAACTTCCGCTGCAACCTCCATAGCTCCTTCTTCAGCCGCTCTCCTCCTCCGTTCGATGGACTCTGATCTAATGGACGCTGCTTCTCTGAGAGCTTCACCGAAAGCTTCTGCCATCATTCTTCGAAAACGTTGTTCATCATCTTCTTCCCGACGAATTATATCCCCTCCTCCTCCTCCTCCTCCTCCTCCTCCTCCTAGCCGCCGATCAGCCAGCCGTTCTACGTTATCATGGCCCCACAGACGAGGCCCTGTGTTTCCCCCCATATCTCGGTTACCCACGGTTCTTGGCGCCATTTGCAAGTCAACCAAAGCGCCACTTCGCGCCCCCAACTCCGAAATGTCAGGCCGCCACGTGGCACTACGATTCGAACACGCGTCGGCTCCACGACTGCCCAGGACTCAACAGATTCCTGGAAAGTCAGACGACCACGTGGCTTCGTTATCGCAATGTCACCCGGCCACGTGGATGGAGCTCAATCCCCATCCGCCTCTCCTAGCCCAACGACATTGATATTGATCACATCAAACGGCGCACGTGGACCAATTGATCGAAACGGCGGCCGTGGACCAATGGATCCTAACGGCGCCGTTGGGCGCCGGCGTGAATCCAGTCGTCGACAGGCCACCTGAATGCCACGCGCACGAATACCACGTGCCACGGACATACCTCAGACCAGGCGATGGTCGTGGCTGATGTCATGGGGCCTCGCCACACCACTCTCGAATTGTGAAAAAAACAAAAAATGTGGTGGGTGCATCTGGAAATGGTTCTATCGGGAAGTTGCACTTTCGAGAGTGGTGTTGCTATGCCCATAATCGGCAACGTACACTACCGGTACCACCGTGAAAGTCAGTTTTTTTCGTGTTTTTTTGCACACAATAGGGGCCACCGTGGTGGATGTCAGAAATTTTGTTTTTTTTTTGTTTTTTTTGCTGTAAAAATATATATATTTTTTTGCACACAATGGGGGCCACGGTGGTGGATGTCAGAAAAAGAAGGTCAAATAAAAAAAACAAATAATGTAGGTGAACTCTGTCAGGCCTGAGGAGGTCAGGAGGTCAGTTGGTAAGACACAGGAGTGGCATTCAGGAGGTCACGGGATCAATTCGCAACAGCCTCACCTACCTAGTTGGTCGTACTTAGTGCCTGCCATCTAGAAGTAGCCCATTGGCCCCCGGGATACTGTTGATGTCTGTAGAGTGAGGGGACCATAGGAGATGGTCAGTTCTAATGAATCCGCCTGTCGACCCCTGGTTCGTTTAGGTGCAGCTCCTACATGTTGTCTTGTGAGTATGGGATGTAGCCATCATCTCAAAATTTTGGCTTTTAACATTTGTGTGGTCAATTCTAATTCCTCATGTTGGTCATGTACCTCATTACTATCATGTCAAAATGTACAACAATTATCATTTTGGAATTCTCACAGTCATATTCGTCCACGCAATCCACCATTGTTGAACATTTGTAAATAACAAAATTGCTCTTGCATAAAACAATTAAAGAGAAACTATAAAAAAATAATTAATTGCTCATAAAGAGCGGAAAAGAGAGTATTAAATCATCCAAAATGCAAAAGTATTAGCCCCATATATGTTTTTATGAAACCTATATGCGAATGTGTATTGAAACATGATTGAGCGACTACCTAATTATGATGTTATTTATTATAATTATAAAAGACATATTACATTGACCAACATATCGAACAACAAAAGAAAAGTTTCCTAATATTCTTAAATATGATGTGCTTATCGAGTTGCTCATCACATCTTTAACATTTTTCCACTTTCACTGTATTTTTATTACATTTTGTACTTTTGTTTTATTTGAACAATTTTTAAGTTGTGTATATTATTTATACACCCAGGTCATTATAATTTACTATATCATTAAGATTTTAGAGAATGTTTACAAATACTCCACGTTTTTTTTTAATTGTCACCAATATCATGATTTTTTTTTTTTTTACAATAAAAAAGTGATACATCAAGAAAATATTTTTCAATTATTGTAAAAGTATATATATTTGCTTTATAATATTTTTAAGCATTGGTTAGCACAATAGCTTTAGTGCAATAACGAAGTTGTACCAGGTTTTTAAATGCAATGATTTGTATCACGCATTCTATTTAGGGGAAGATTGTAGTAGTGTCTAATAGCAGTTGGGCCTCCATGGTGATTGTTGTGTATTTTCATTCCCCTCACACAACCTTAATTAATAAGGCCTAACCGTGAACAATGTTGGATGCACTCTTTACTTTATTATTCACAATAACATTAATATATTGTGTTAACGTAAAAATGAATTGAACAATACTTTTGGTTTTATCGTTTGTGAAACTGGTTCTCACTTGTTTGGTTATATTTAAATTTCATATCATACCATGTGGTTTAGTTATGCATAGTTTGATATATACATGACTGCATCGCTCATGTTGCTCTATCATTCGAAGATACTCAAAAACACCTTCAACTGAGCATGTTAGGACCTCAATCAAAATTCGAGAATTAAAAATGGTCAATGCAATACTATATGGTGAAGGTTTGCTTCTTATGTCATAGCCACATGCTTTTGTTTAGATTGCATGTGAGGGAGTGTGCCAAATAGGACAAAGTGATAACATGGGAATAGGGATACAATATCGATATCTTATATACACAATTGAAGTTATGTCATTTTTTTGTAGGTAAATCAAATGGTTGTTTGCACTAAGGTGGTTGTCTGTTTGCAACACCACTCTCCTCGATAATTGAAAATTGGTTTTCCACTGATTATGGAGGAGGCTAGGAACCATTAGGCCCAAATAATTTAGAGGTCAGCAACAATTACAAAAAAAAAAACATGAATTTTAAACCACTAGTATTTTATCCAACTACCGATCGCGGGGAAAAATAGAGTAGACACATTTTCAGTCGCATGAATTTAGGTGTTTCTGTAGTGACTCATACATTTCTTAAAGTCATGGTTTGTTTACTGGCACGACTTGGGGAAGTAGTGGTGGTTTAACGACGTTCCACACACATTAAAATGTTATAAAAAATATAAAAATTTGAGGGTCAATAAATTATGTCTTATTTTTCCAAAGTTTTTTTTTTAACTGAAAATAAAATAAATTGGAAAAAAGATCCACGTGGTGATTTAACATTTTTTTTTTCAATTTTCTCACTGCTATGTATAACCCAACTCGGTTCACGTAGGATAAAAAATGTTATAACTTTAATTATTTTTCGCACTCAAAATAATGAGCAAACATTTTTGGAAAAAAATGCACCTTGTTGATTAGGTGTAGGTATTTAAAATTTAAATATTACAGAAAATATTTATAAATAAATAAATAAATGCTAACTAATAATGATAGTTTTTATTGTTTTTCTCACTTTTTTCATCATAGTTGTACTTGTACGTCTGATGAAGTGTTGCTTCTGGTCTTCGTAAAATTTTCAGTAGCAGAGGGAGGGACGGTTTAAGATCCACAAGGTTTAAGATCGGGAAAAAAAATCCTCGTAGTGATTTAATAGTTAAAAAAAAAAAATTATTACTTTTATGTATAGGTCAAATCGGTTCACGTAGGAGAAAAAGTGTTATGAGTTCAATGATTTTTCGCACTCCAAACAATGAGTAAATATTTTTTAAAAACAAATGCACCTTGTCAATTAGGTGCGGGTATTAAAAAAATAAATATTAAAAAAATAAGTATAACTTTAAATTTTGAAAACGAAATTATGTGTCAAATCAATCATGATAGTTTTCGTTATTGTTGTTTTTCTTCATGATTGTGGTACCTCTAAGCCTGATGAAGTGTTGCTTTTGCCCTTCGCAAAGTTTTAAGTGATGGGGGGAGGGGCGGTTTAAGATCCGTAAGACTTCACTGTCTCCTTTTTTTAAAACACCCTTCAAGTGTTGAAGTATGAAATGTGTGTGTGTGTGTGTGTGTGTGTGTGTGTGTGTGTGTGTGTGTGTGTGTGTGTGTGTGTAAAAGAATGAAAGAGAGAAAGACGAGGAGAAAAAAGATAAAAATAATGAAAAGAAAAAAAGAAGAAGAACAAAAAAAGAATTAAAGGAATTTGAGAAGCTTCATCAATCGAGCAATAGTTGAGAAATATATAACAGACACAGTCTCAAGTAACAAGCATACCCATAAGACGTTCCAGTTTGTTAACATGACGACTATGGGAAAAACGAAGGAGGCAAGAGAGAAAAATTTGTGTTTGGGAGTACCACGTTTATCAACAAAACGAGGTT